TTTCTTTTACTCATGATTTCAGAATCATAACGTGTTACGATCCGATGGAAATCAATCAGATTGCTAGATTTCGGATCGTAACGCGTTATGATTCCGAAATCATGAGTAAAAGAAAACAGCACATGATCACGCATGCATGAGGATCCAGATCAAGTTTGAGAAACATTTTTAAATTACATGTAGTCTTCATCCCGTTTCAAATTTCCCGATTTGAGTACTATTGTCGAAATATGGCTTGAATGTCACAAGATTTGATTCATTAATTCCACTAGAATAAAGGATTTTGAAGAGTTGCATTTTTGTGTATATTAGTTCTTTTTTTTTGTTTGACGAAGAATCGGCCTGAAAATTGGTCGTAACATTACTGCACAACCCATATAAACTATTACCCTCGATACCCTTATTTGGGTGGTGTTAGTTTTTAAAAAATATACATATAATATCTTCGGAACAAATTACCATGATTCAAACAAGTGGTGCAGGTGGAATATGTTAAATTACCTTTTCCACAAATATTGAGGTGCATTGGAAAAGTTTTGGTATTTGCGAAATGCAAATGTTTTAGTTTTAAAGGAAATGTGGTCATATTTAATTATATACAGGGTGTCCGGTAAATAGTGGATAACCTTTTAACTGTGGATGGGGAACCCAAGGTCGTTCAAAAAATCGATTTTTGTCTTAGTACAAAGTCCCTTCGTTTTTTTTTTCGAAATTTCCGCCATAGGTTACTTTATTGGTCACTACGTATTATCTTTCAGTTATTTTGCATAATATTCTTGAATTGTGTTATTATCAGATGCTTATCAGAATTTTTAACTAGCAAAGTAGTTCTTGTTTAAAAAAATCTTACTTAAATTTTACGTGTCAGCAAAAATAAAAACAAATGCTCCAAAGGGCATTTATAAGAAGGTGCAGAGCCTAATTTTTAAATAAAATTAAATAATAGCTTAAAGATAATACGTTCGCTTGTGGCCATAGTGACATAAAGTAACCTATGGCGGAGTTTGAAAAAAAAAAAAAACAAATAACTGAAAAACAAAACACAAAATTTGATTTTGTGAATGATCTTAGTGTTCCCCATCCACGGTTAAAAAGTTATCCATTATTTACCGGACACCCGATAGAATATCTCTCAATTTCTTATGGGGTGTTCTTTAAATATGAATACAATAAAAATTAAAATGAACTTGAGATCAATTCCAACTCTTTACAAAGATATAGCAGTTTAAATTTGACTTGTTGATAATGCCTTTTATCCTTTCTTAACCATTTAAAGTACAAGCAGCAAATTTGGTACATGTTTGTGGCCACTGTTGACTCCTACTTATACAGTATCACAAAAAAATGAATTGCACACAACTCCCTTTCATAGCCACTCTTGGAAAATGTAAGCGTAAAACCTGTAGCATGAAAGAATGGTAATAAAATTATTATTCTTGTAAAATTCTGTTAAAAGATAGATTGCCAGTAAAATTAAAAAGTGATAATTAAATTAGCCGTGTAATAATTATTATTAAATATGGAGAGATAAGTATCTGATGTGCTTGATGGTAAAGTAATCCTGTATTGAATATTAGGATAAAAACTGACCTGATGGTAACGTAAGCTCTTGTAAATTTAAGGGGGAGCATTCAAGTAGAAAACATTTTTTTTTTTAATTTTATTCGCTCATTTTAAAGTTAGTAGTATTAGGAATATTGTGTGTAAAATTTCATATTGAAATTCCAATTGTTATAGGCAATTTACCGGAATGCGGTCGAACGGCCGGCCGCCTGACCTGGACTCGTTTGTCTAGATCTAGCAGGAGTAGCGGGTATTGATGGGTTGGACCCTTTATGAATTCTAACAGTTCGTCTAGCGAGTCATTCTATCATCAGTGTGCAGCAGTGACCATTTATTTTGTGCGTAGTTTTGTGAAATTTATATAGTGAAATGGTTAGCAGAAAAGGTAGAATGAAACGCATATCAGCACTGAAAGATCGAAGATACAGAATGGGTGCATATCGCCAAAGTCAAAATTCACAACACAACATATGAAGGGAGAATTCAACAAAGGCAGTCACGAATCGCTGCAGAAGATATTGCCTGTGCTGCAGGGAGCCTACTCTGTGGTCCAGGAATCGCAGATTAACGGTAAAGTAATTAATAGCAAAATGGATTTTTTTTTTAAATGCCAAAGTTTGGAATATGAAATATGTTATCTTGAATTCCAAGAACTGTAAAAGTTATGGGCGATTTACCGAGAAGCTAACGAGCAACCAAGTTCACAAGTGCGTCAAATTCCAAAAGTACTATTTTGATCAAGACAAAGGTTAGAAATTGAAAAATAAATGTAGTTCAATCGGGCGCCATTTCATGAAATTTTTTTTTTAATCCTATGTTGCGAAGAACGTCATACATTACATTTTGAGAATTTTTTTGAAATTTTTGTTTCACATCTACTGACTGCATGTAATCTTGGTAACTGCAGTTCATGCAAGTGAGGGACATTTTTATGCCGGCCATGATAGCAGCACTCCCAGTTGATATACAGGGTGGTCGCGATGTAATGGGCCAAAATTCATGACTAGATTCCTGACGTGAAAATATTGCGATTTAGACAAACTCACCTTAGTCCAAAAGTTGATACTTACAGAGATACAGGGTGTTTAATGCAAAATATTATTTTAGTTTTTTCTTATTTATTTCATAATAAATGCTCATATCGAGATGAAATTTTGGTGTTAGGGGTTTTCTGGGGCGAGAGATTGAAATATATCCATGGTTTGCTTGTAGCTCATAGAGAGCGCCACCTGCGCTAGGTCGAATGCGTTGAAAACGACAGAACTTTTTTATCTTTCAAAAATCTAATTCTCAGGTAGCAAATTCTGATTTTACAACTTCTTTTACACAAAAAAGCTATACTTTTTGATAGTCGCTATCTTGCACCGTTCTCGTAAAATTTGCCATTGAAAATTCCAATGTATTTGCATTCAATTACAAATCGGCAAAAATTTTCAAGTAGGCTTATGTTAAAATCCAATTTTGACATTTTCCACTTATCTTAGTGCTGTCAGTAATATTACAGTATTATTCGTGCCTTATTAAAAGTATTCTTTACTTTATGATCTAAATCGTAGTGCGAGATAACATGCCACGCCATAATTTATTTTCAAATGGAGAAATGCGCGATATGGTTTGCGTTTATGCGCAATCAGATTATGTTGGACGTCGAGCGCTTCGTCGGTATTCAGAGTTGTATCCGAATAGAAGGCAACCAAATCGGAAACTATTTCAAGAACTTTTTAATAGACTTGGAGAAACTGGTAGTTTTCGTCCTAAAAGAGACAACGCAGGGCGTATGTTACAGTTCACCAAGAAATTTTAGTAAGAGTGGCAGGAAATCCAGAAGTTAGCAGCAGGCAGGTAGCTAGAGAAACCGGTGTTAGTAAAACAACAGTTCTCAAAATCTTTCACAAGGAAAATTTATATCCCTACCATTTTACACCCGTGCAAAATCTTTTAGCAGCAGACTTACCAGCTAGATTACAATTTGCTCATTTTATGCGCAATCAGCAAAACCTTGACCAGGAATTTTTGGATAATGTACTATTCACTGATGAAGCGACCTTTACTCGTCGAGGAATTTTCAATTTTAGAAACAAGCACATATGGGATAATGAAAATCCTCACGTAGTCAGTGAGCGTCACTTCCAACATGAATTTAAGATAAATGTTTGGTGCGGAATCATAGGAAATCACCTTTTGGGTCCACATGAGGTTCCTCCAAATCTAAATGGTGATTTGTATTTAGATTTCCTGCAGCACCATTTAGTTGACTACCTCGACGATTTACCACTGAATACACGGCAAAATCTATTTTTCATGCAAAATGGAGCTCCCCCTCATTATTCTGTTAGAGTACGGAACTATCTTGACCACATTTTTCCGGATCGTTGGATCGGTCGTGGGAGTCCAATATTATGGCCTCCTCGTAGTCCTGACTTTAATCCTATGGATTATGGATCAGTTGTCTATAGAGAAACTATAAACACCCACGAAGAACTATGGCAGAAAATTGCAAATGCCACTGAATCATTTCGTAACAAGAATCTCTATTTTAAAATACAGCAGTCTTTGAACAAACGCGTTAATAAATGTATTGAAGTTGAAGGCGGACATGTTGAACATTTATTGTAATATTCGATATTCAATTGTTCATCACAATTTAATAATTTGAAATAAATTCTTGTTCTTTTTGACATTCGTACCTTATTTTGATTACTCGAATTACCAAAGCTAAATATCTTGAGAACGGTGCAAGATAGCGACTGTCAAAAAGTATAGCTTTTTTGTGTAAAAGAAGTTGTAAAATCAGAATTTGCTACCTGAGAATTAGATTTTTGAAAGATAAAAAAGTTCTGTCGTTTTCAACGCATTCGACCTAGCGCAGGTGGCGCTCTCTATGAGCTACAAGCAAACCATGGATATATTTCAATCTCTCGCCCCAGAAAACCCCTAACACCAAAATTTCATCTCGATATGAGCATTTATTATGAAATAAATAAGAAAAAACTAAAATAATATTTTGCATTAAACACCCTGTATCTCTGTAAGTATCAACTTTTGGACTAAGGTGAGTTTGTCTAAATCGCAATATTATCACGTCAGGAATCTAGTCATGAATTTTGGCCCATTACATCGCGACCACCCTGTATATATATTTATAATAATCGGCATGCCTCAACATGTACACTTTTGAATAAAAAACCTGGATAAAATCAAACAGATAGTGTTTGAAACAATGATTCCTAAAATTTGCCTATTTTTTCCACTATCTACTCGGATGTTCTCCCTTAAGGTACAGTATTAACTGAAAACGTACATAGTGCAATTTATATCCCTGTGATTGTACTCATATATGAGAATCAATAATTGAAGTCAACAGCTTAATTTATTCCTTGTAAAATCTCTATTGTATACAATTAATATATGTATTTGATAAAAACAAAACACACTGATACATATTAAAAACATATTTTATTTGCCATGATCAGCTTTTATCCATAAATTTGCTCTGATGGAAAATGTAATAATTTAAAAATTTTATATATCTTAAAAGAACTATATACAACAACCAAAAGCATTTTTTGCAAGGACAGTTAACCATTAACGAATCCATATTGCAGTATTTTCTCAACAACTTTATTCACTGTTGTGAATTAAAAAAAAAAACAAATGGAACACTGAAAATAACATTGTTTAATATGCTGAGTTTATCAAATTCCAACCTGTGTCATTAGTAGATGATGATTTAGATCATAATATATTGATTATATCTTTTAGATTTATATCATTTTGTGTTAAAATGACAATTACAAAATTTAAATTTAATCCACAGTCTGTGTATAAAAATTCAAAGGAAGACAGGACATCAGCCATATTGCAAGTTTGTCTTATAAATTCCTATTCAACAGTTTAGTTACAGTGTTGAAGATAAATTATTTTTAGTGATAGCTCGGAAAATTATTTATTGTCTTAATATTTTGATCATAAATAAAACCACTAAACTACATTTTTTCAAAAAAATTCACTATTAAAAATAATTCAGTGACGTAATTATAGATTTCTAATCTGTTACACCCTGCAATTTTTGTATCGGTGAAAATACAAAAGATGATCTCAGTTTATTATGCCATTTTTGAGTTATTGGGGTCCAAAAGTAATGACATGCACTCAATACAATAAGCTGTTCAATTATAGGAACATTTATATGATTTATGAAAAATGGTAGTCAGAATATAAAATAATTAAAATAAATCATTACATCAAGAACTAAAAAGTATCTACAAAATTATGTTTTTTAAAATTATATTAATTTTTAGTCTTTCAATGTCAGACAAAGATGATGCTCAATTTGAGTGGCTAAGTGAACAATGGTGGATAGGTTGTAAATATCCTATCACATAGCCTGTTCTCCAGAATTGAACCTGCCGGACTTTTTATATATTTTTGTTCTGAAATACTAACAGAAAAACAAAAAAGTAATTTCAGAAATTATAATTTTGTTAATATTCTTGTTACTTTCTGATGTAAAAATTTGTTTTACTTTATACTCTTAATATTACTTTTAATAAATTGCATAAAGAATATCCCTGAACTGAATTGCTGGTGTCGAAATGCACATAATTATTATCTCTGGAACCTTAAAATAGATTATATTTTGCTTAAAAATGTCTAATAATCCAGAATATAGCATACAATTCAAATTATTTTCACTGCCATAAAAATTACATGGTGAAACAGGTTAGATATTTATGCTACTGAATTATTTTTTAATCACAAACTATTATCAAAAAATGTAGTTGAATGGCCTTCCTACAAAAAAAATATTAGCTATCACTAAAAATAATGCATACCTTCAATATCCGGTGATTTCTATACAGTTAATAACATAAATTTATAGGGCATACTTGCAACATTTTTGATGCTCTGCCTTCCTCTCAATTTTTTTATACATGCTATATATCACCTTATACAACATAGATTCCATTCAACTCATACATTATAAACCTCTTCTTCAAAATATGTAGCTAATTTTGTCTAAGTAAAAGAGATGTGGTCTAAAGGATTAATATTCCAATACAGACAGAGGTCAGTTTTTGTACCCCAGTATATATAACAACTTAAAAAATAAAAAAGTCATTTGGAATAATTTAATTATTATGTTATATGAATATTAATTAGCTATATGGGTTCAGTGGATCACGATCCAAAGTCTTAAGATAACCCACACTTCACTCAAAAAGAAAAAAGTTCAAGCAACATAAGTGTAAACTTTTCTGTCCTCAGGTGTACGAGCTAAGTACTCCCTCTCAATCAGACCTTCTATTCTCTTTTTAATAATGACTGGCGAAGGAAGGAATCTGCTCTTTAGCTGCTCTGTTACTTCTGTTACCAGGATGTTGTGAGCCATGCGCTTTCGAGATTTCATAATTCTTACAATTGCTGCTTCTATCTCATGCTTTCTGTCCTCGTCAACCTTGTTTCTGGTCTCTCTTCTTTCTGGCTCACTTTCCCCTTTGGCGGCTACCGTTTGTATTTTGACTCTGTGCAATTTTGATGTAAAAGAATCATTCACGTAAAATTCGTGAGATGCTTCAATGTCCTTAGTTTTTGGATTTTTTATGAGGATCCTTTGTGTAGCTTTACCCATAGCCAGAGATTGTAATGCCCTAATAAGATCTCTTTCCGGTATGTCAGATTCGTTCAATATTTCTTCATAAGTTAATTTATCGTGATTGTTGAATAACATGAGTACTACCATTTGATAAGTGGAAACTTGAATAATGTGCTTCCGGGGTCCTGTTCTGGAAGACACTAGGCTTGTAGATGAAGAACAGGCACCATCCTTATCGCTGTCATCTTTTTTTGGGCCATAAAACACTGCGTTGAGATCAGCATTGCCAAGCTGTGGTTGTAACGTTAGCTGTCGACCACTATGTTTGGCCAAATAAAACCTGCAAATATTCGACATTAAATGTGAATATCAGTAAAAATTATATAAGGTGGATCGATTTGAACACTTTTGGTAAATTTCTCGTAATTTACAAAGATAACAAATAGTGTTTCCATGTTGTTTTTTCAAGAAAAACTGAACCGTGAAAACTGCTTCTAGAAATTTTGATTTGATTTTAAAAATCCAGGGCATTTTGTGTGACATCAAACTATTTTTATTTGAGTCTAATTCTTGTATAATCCAACAATATTTACCTGTAAACAATTTCCAGTTTTTGAGTTGTAATCAAAACATATTTTTTTAATAACACAATATACAGAGTATAACTTTAAGTGGGGGGAATAAAGTTCTTTAGGGGTTCTATAATACTAATCTTAAATCATTTTTTAATTAATTATAATCAATTTAAACTCCTCAGTTTTAACAACAGAATTTGAGAAAACAAACTTATAAGTGTCCTTAAGGTCAAAACTAGCGTCCACGTAAATATGACCTCTATTCAAAGTTACACCCTGTATTTTAGTTTGTACGCTTTCACAGCAGTTGTCAGTGACTGAACAATTTCCGGGCTGAACGTCGTGTCAGCGGCTTCGGTTTTCTGACATTTCAAGAACCATAATCGCTCCCTTCTTCCGAAGAAATTAAGTAAAAGAAAAAATAGTTTCTTCTGACACATCAAGAAATCTAAGCCAAAGATGCGGCAACCAACTTGGGAATTATTCAGCCATTACACACAGTTTTGTATGATGGCTCAACTCAATTGGTTTATGAAAAACCGAGTGTGTTATGGATGTAATAAATATAAACTTTTAACTATTGTTTTCATGCAAATATTATATATAACCCATCATTTGAAAGGAAATTTTAGATACTTAAAGATCAAATAATTTAGAGAATAAAAAATATTTTGGATTATAACTTAAAAAATGGAAGTTGTCGAAATGTACCATAAAAAATAATGAATACCTTCTACACAAAAACCAAAAAATTTCACAGGTAAAAAAATATTCATCATTAAAAATAATGAAAACTTTCTATATCCCTTAAATGAATCAAATATTTTAACTTCTTTTTATCCATATCCATGAAAAACGCTGTCGTGTTGAAATTGTCTCACCTCGATAGTTGACATTTTCAGAAAAATATAAATACTAATGTGCAAGTTCCTCATGATTTTGCTTAATTCTATTTCCATTGTGGAAAATTTTTATTTGGAATTTATTGTGTATGACTGCATGACGACGATACTTTATAGTGGGCAAAAATTGTGAAAAACATTTAAATTTTAATTTAGGCCTATAGAAATATTCCGTATGGTTTAGCAAATTATTGAAAATGTTAAATAATCAAATCAGAGAGTATACCGACTACTTATTTGCTGTACATTACCTATTATATCCCATTGTCCTAATTACATAGCTATCATATGTTGATTAGATACAGAGGATGAATGAGTTTAACTGTTTTTACGTTACGGTGATCTAAAATAAGTAGATACTAAATTATCAGGAAAATTATTCTAAAAATGTTTATGGTGTAACCTAATGAATGCATTATACTATAAAAATGCACACAAAACTGAACACACATGGGATTCCACCATCAGTCTTCTGTCTACCTATGCGTAAAAAATAAATACAATGACAAAGGGCAGATTTACTGCGATACGTCTAAAATCACAATGAAACAGAAACATTTTTTTCACTCCCACCATGTAAGTTGCCTAAGACTTTGACCATGTCTGTCATTTCTTCATTAGAAAATGCCATTCGAAACGAATGCGTCGGATTGTCCGACAAATGTCAAAAGTTTGACAATTCATTTATTATAAAATGACATCATCGCTTACTATGATAATGATTGTCTAAAACTGAAAATATTTTTTTGCATAAAAACTGAATGCTACAAGATTTTACCAAGAGCATGAAAATTTCGAAAAAAGACTGATGCATCAATAAAAGAAAATGAAATGATTCCAGAGACCAAATAAAAAGTTCTAGTAATTCTTGTACTAAGACACTCAAGAATTTACCATTTGCCCAAGGCGGATGGACGGGGTTGCTCAAAACATGAGTCTTATTTAGGAACAAGTCCTCAGCAAGTTTCATTAAAATCCATCGTAACATTCTCCAGATATTAGAAAAAACATAATTTGTTTCAAGAACTTTGACAATCAACAACAGAGGAGCTAAAAATTTTTTCTTAATGAAGTTAAGTCAGATGAAGAATGTCACAGTACCTTTTTGATCATGTGCTTATGGGACACTCTATATATTGTAATTCATATTCTAAGTGTTTAATTCAAAATGAGCTCGGAAAGTGAAGACGAGCACTTGCCAGTACAAGTATTGGAAGCGGCACAAAGTGGTCTTTCATTAATCCACAAAAAATCATCAAGACAGTACGAGATTGCCTACAACGAATTCTAAGGGTGGTGTCGTTCGAAGGAAACTCAAAAAGTGTCTGAAGGGGAATTACTGGCATATTTTGAAAATAAAATTAATAAAATTAAACTTTTGACTTGACATTATGGTCAGTATATTCCATGTTAAAAAGTACACTGAATGCCAAAAAAAATATAAATATCAGAAAATTTCCAAAACTAATATTAATACCATATTTGAAAAGCAAATTAGTTGGATACCATCCGGAAAAGTCCAGAATTCTAACAAAAGAGGAAATTGAGATTTTTTACAAGAAGCACCTGAAAATAGATTTCTGATAGAAAAGGTAATTCAAATGAATATAAATCGAACAATTTAACTAATTTTGGACAACTTTTCAGGTCATTTTAATAATTGGTGTTTGTGAAGCTTTGAGAAGAGATGAACTACTAAAGATAACGATTGATGATATAGAAGACAAAGATTCAATTATTATTATAAGAATTCCGGATTCCAAAATTCATACTCCAAGATGTTTTGTGATTTCAAGTCCAGATCAAATGAAGATATACCACAAATACGTCCGGCACTTACTACAAGTCGAACATTTTTTGTGAAGTATAACAGGGAAAAATGTATTAACCAAGTGGTTGGCGTCAACAAAATAACAAATATGGCAAAAGAAATAGCAGTTTATCTCATTTTGCCTCATCTGGAAACTTATACAGGGCACTGCTTTAGACATTCTTCCACCGCTCTGTTAGTCAGGGGCCGATATTACCACCATTAAATGACATGGAGGGGTGGCATTTTATAATAGTGCAGTAGCGGAGACATAAATAGAAGCTTCTACAGGGTGATTCATTAACAATGGGAAAGTCGAAAGCTGAAGATACTACACGTGAAACATGCCTTATCCGAAAGTTGATAGTTTCAGAAATACAGGGTGTTGAAAGTTAAAATTTTAAATCGTTTTTTTGCGATTATTCTGAAAATATGTAGGTTAGGAACTTGAAAATTTGTGAAACTATATTATTTTAGGCGACGATTAAGATGCGTGTTGTAATTTCAGCATTGCTCATAGAGGGTACCACTTATGACCAATTTTACCGAAAATTTAGTTAATAACTTTTTACCCTATATGTCTAACATGAAATTTAATTCAAAACCTGAAAGAGCTATCATTTTTCCATTTATTATGTACTCTTGTTTCATTTCGGTATCTCGATCCGTTTTTGAGAAAAATCTATTTAACGAACACTATGTTTTGATAATATGAGAAATTAAAAGCGAAACAAACCAAGTGTTTCTTCGTGTTATTACAACAATTAACAATAAAACAAATAAAATACGTAATTATGATTTAATGTAATTGTTCGAAGAATCTACCGTTGATACTGATACACTTTACACGTTTTCTGAGAGATCTTCGAGTTTGAAACAACATATTGGGATTGCATCTGACTTTGTTGGTAACAATTTGTATTCTTTGCCACAACTCTTCACACGAGCCAGTAGATTCTTTGTAAACTATATCTTTCATTCGAGACCAAATAGAAAAATCAAGAGGATTGAAGTCCGGACTTCTGGATCGACAAGCAAAAATGCTTACATGGCCAATCCAGCGATTTGGAAAAACTGCATCTAAATATGCACGCACTGGCCAAGAAAAATGCGGTGGAGCTCCGTCATGCATGAACCACATCTCTTCTTAAATAAAGTGGAACTTCTTCAAGCCGTGGAAGCATTTTTACTTGGCCACCCAGAAGTCCGGACTTCAATCCACTTCATTTTTCTATTTAGAAGAATCTATTGGTTCGTGTGAACAGTTGTGGCAAATAATACAAATCACTGCCAACGAAGTCAAACGCAATCCCAATATGTTGTTTCAAACTCGAAGATCTCTCAGAAAACGTTGTGTAAAGTGTGTAAATGTCAATGGTGGATTCTTCGAACAATTACTTTAAATCATTATTACGTTTTGCATTTGTTTTGTTGTTAATTGTTGTAATAACATGAACAAACACGTGATTTCTTTCGCTTTTAATTTCTTGTATTATCAAAACATAGTGTTCGTTAAATCGATTTTTCTCAAAAACGTATCGAGATACCGAAATGAAACAAGAGTACATAATTAATGGAAAATGATTGCTCTTTCAGCTTTTGAATCAAGTTTCATGTTAGATATACAGGGTAAAAAGTTATTAACTAACGTTTCGGTAAAATTGGTCGTAAGTGGCGCCCTCTATGAGCACCGCTGAAATTGCAACAAGCATCTTATTCCTCCATTAAAAAAATATACTTCCACAAATTTTCAAGTTCCTAACCTACACATTTTCAGAATAATCGCAAAAAACGATTTAAAATTTTAACTTTCAACATCCTGTATTTCCGAAACTATCAACTTTCGGATAAGGCATGTTTGCGCCAATGGTCACCATTTCACGTGTAGTATCTTCCCATTGTTAATGAATCACCCTGTATATAAAATAAAATTTCAATCGCAAACAATTTGTTACCATCTTCAGCAGAGCCTACGATTCTTGCGAATAATACAATGTGCACAGTAAACTTTATAGCAGCAGCCCCATTGAACACCCAGAATAAAAGCTATGATAACTGACAGCACTGGATCTGGCATAAATTTAATTCACTGTAATATTGGCAGATTCAATTTATGTACATGTAGTGCAATATAAATTGTAATCGTCCTGTTTATACTGTTACTGTTTTATATTGAAATGTTATATTACCTAAAATGTATATTGTTTAATATTCTAAGTATAGCCTTATTCTTGGTTTATACTTGCATTGTAGAACCAGCCCTAAGAAGTTGTATTAGCATTAAAGTTTGGTTTATGATATGTAAATAGATATGTAAATACAATAATAATTTAGTAACATCCAATGGCGGCACCTAGTAAATAAGGACCGATTAGTTGTGGAATTTTAAGAAATTTCAGGGAGGTTTGGGAAATTTCGAATCCCCCTGACATTTCCAGATATATAAAATTCCCTGATAATTCCAGGTTTTTCCCATTTTCCAGATTAGCATACACACTGTTGAACAATCAGTAAATTGCAGCAGATATTCAGAATCACCAAATATTTTGACAACAGGGCAGCACCATTCACACCTGCTCACAATCCTACGTAATGAAATTAAATGTCAACTCAAATTACCTTCTGAAACATTCAAAGGCAGCAAGTGGTACTGGTGGTATATGGCATTTAGGTGTGGCGCTCTGTGTAGGCCAAAACCCTGTTGTTAATACACGCATAAACAAATCAACACCACCTAAATTAGTCTGGAAAAAATGTTATTAATAAAATTTCCAAATTTATTTAATAAAAGTTACCTCTGACTTTGTAATGTGTTCTTTAAATTCATCCATAATTGTATTAGAAACCGTCATGTCCTTGAACATTCCCTCTAATTTTGAAGTAAATTGACAGCCACATTCGGTCTAAAAAGTCGTTTGTTAAATTGTATATAATTATTACAGCAATTGGACATACAGTGCTCCCTTTAATGATATGCAAAATTCTCCTTACCAATTTAACTTTTTTACTTAAAAAAATTATCTTCCATCTATAAATGGAGCATGTATGTCACAACAAATGATAAAAGAATAAACCTTACTAATTTTAAAACTGAATGAGAATTTTGCAGATATTAAGCACGGGACAAAGAACAACATCTAATTCAGATCTTCTCCATTCTCTAAAGTAAGTACTTTATTTTCTAGCATTGCTTCAAATGCATTACATTTCGCACCATGCTCCTATATAATTTTTAGTTTTGAACTAAAAGGGGAAAGAGTATTACACATTTGCTTACCTTCAGTTTTGAGATCATATTTTTTTCCCAATCGTCACTAACAGATTTATTGAGTAGCAGTCGTTTAGCTAAGTGTTGCTTGTAATACCTTTCAAAAACATCTTTTTCTTGCAGAAATCTGAATAGCACCATCGACTTATCAAGGACCAACTCTATATCTTGTTCAGACATCTAAAATAACACAAACATATAAAAGTATGATAATAAATAAATTAGAACAATATAATCTGTAAAATAGACAAATGTTCGCTTTCACAAGAACAATGAAAAAATTTCACTCACCCCCTTTACTCCTTTTTTCAATTTATCATCAATAAATAGAGACAGGTACTCAGGAGATTTGGGATTGAGGTTGAGGAAGTGCTCAAAGTCTGATGCAATCATTTGCTTAAATATTTTATCATTGTTGAAAGAATTCTTTAAGAAGTGATCGAAACCATCTTTAAGGTCTAGTAGAGACTGCACAAAAGTAATTGCGTTTGTAGCTGGCTGATGTTCCTCTTCTTGCACGAGGGCTTTCCCCTGTTCTCTTAAATATTGACTAACACAGTCGGCCATTGTTTTTAACCCATCCGTCACACGCCCGAAAAGTTTATACATGCAGGCTAAGTCTTCGGTTTTCTGATGTTTCAACATATGTACAACCCCGGAATTTTCCATCTAAAAATAATTGTTTCATTGAACTCAAAAAATAAAACATTTACAGTTGCATATTATCTCTGTAAATTTACAGAAAATATGGACAACTCTAAAAAAATAGAGTACAGTTTCCATTCTTTGACATCTATTTATTCGATATTCTAAATAACAAGGACACTGCTGTCAGACTTTTTGGAAAATTATCCAGTCTGGCATTAATATGTTGTATTAGATTTGTTTTTGTAGTAAGTTTTAGATAGTTTGCAAACTGTTATTAAGCATACTTGGTTGTGGACTATTTGCTAGGAGTTGTGAATATTACGCAGCAAAAACGTTTGTTTAGTTTTACGTTTTACACTTAAATTTGAAATAAGGATAACAAACTGACAACAGAGAAGAAACAAAGATCATTAACATCATCATCAAATCCCTCCCTGAATAGTTCGAGTACGAGTTTTTGCTTTATTGTAATTACAGATTATGACAGTTCTTGGATGTTAAAGAGATTGGATTGAAAAACAGAATTATTTTAACATATATTAGCACTTAAATTTTGCAGATATAATTACCTCAAATAAGTGTCCTACTATATTTAATTAGTGATAATAAAAAAAAAATATGAATAATGTAACTGATGGTTTGTAAAGCACTCCAAAAGAATATTTCCTAAAACTTCTGGCAAGGAAAATTATTCAAAATTAACTTAAAAGTTATGAAAAATAAGCTGTCAATATCAGGCATATTCGATTACCAATAGTAATGTGCACATTTCGGATTGACAGTCCACAGATAAATTTCCAACCAGTATGACTGTCGGCAAACGGTTTGACAACAGTTGGAAAATATTGCACTAAGAGAGTGAGAGAACATTCCCAGTGAGAGTTTGAGATTTGTTGTGCAGAACCAGTAATTAATGTAATGCTACCGAAATAAACCTGTATGTATGTATAACTCCTACATAAAATTATTTTAGTAATGTTTTAGTTAATTTAAAAGGTAAATATAAATATGCATTCAAATATTTAATGACAATTTTAGTTTAATAACAATACAGTATTACAAATCTACTGTTGCATATGCTTTTCTATTATTCAACATTTTCAATTTATAATATTTCTATGGTCCTGTATGTTCGATAATTAGGACCATACCGTGATAATATATGTTAAATGAAACAAAATACAAATTAAACTTATTTAAACAATTTACATACAAATAGAAAAAATTGTTTTGAAACTTTAACTACTAAATTTTCAATAATTTTTTAGTATTTACCTCGACAATAGTTTTCATATGTTTTTTAATCAATTCTTCCTCAACAACTTCAACAATCCGAGGCTCTGTAGATTCATCTAAATAATGCTTGGCACGGTCAGATTCTTCATTGATACGTGCTTCTACCTTTTTAATATATACAGATGCACTGTTTTCAGCCAAAAATCTCTGACTCTCAACCTAAATAAAAAAGAATTTATTGTATAAAGGGACATAGAAATCTTATTAATATAAAATACAATATGTAGAACATAATGCATAATTCTGTTAAATTTTCTCTATGCAAAATTTACAGTCACCTTATAAAATTCAGCAGATTGTTGTAAAAATGGCCTTTCAAAATCTTCTTCATAAACTGAACGGGAGTTAATTCCAAGTACCATTAGCATTTGGCAAGCGTTCTTTATAGATATTCGATCTACCTTCTCACCCCTTCGTTCTCTTACAACCATGTCTAATAAAGTTTCGCGCAGATGATCCCTTATACAGCCGTATCTCACAACCTAAAAAATTATGTATAGATTCATATAGTGTTTCAGATTAAGTCGACAAAGATACAAAATAAGTAGTGAAAAATAGTCTATTAAATAAGAGCACCCATGCAATTTCTAGTTTGTTCCATTGCTCTTGAGGGTTGCTTTCGCTGTACAGGGTCACTTGCGAACATGTGTACCCACACACCCCCCTGCCAGTATGGATGCCATCACGGAACTTGCAGCCGGTCAGGGAAACGGACTCTTCTACCGGACCTAATGGTAATTGCCTTGGGTGTGGATGGCACGGATAATGGGGCAGAAGTTGATGGAAGGCTATTGTTCTCATTCCTGGTATCTGTCGCATCATTCAAACAATACGGACTCTGTCTATGGACACTTTAACTTCGCGACCACGCACTAGCACCGTGAATGTTTTGTTGTCGCATTTAATCACTGTAAACGGACCATCATTTGGGTTCTGTAGTTGAGTTTTACCGCCGTCCGCACGTACAAAAACATGTGTCGCTGTTGCCAAGTCTTTAAAAACGAATGGCGTCTTCTCGCCATGGCGTTTAACTGCGGCTGGACTTTAAGCTTTCCATACGATGTCTGAGGTCCTTAACAAAATTCGCTTCGGTGCTGAGCTCTTCGTCCGTCCTGCGGAAATGACGAAATTCTCCGGGTAGGCGTAGATGTTGTCCGTACACCATCTCGGCCACGGTAGCTTGAATGTCTTCTTTCCATGCTGCACGTATTCCCAGTAGCACAGTGGGAAGAATGCTAGTCCATCGATCGTTTTGGTGGCATTTTATCGCTGCTTTTAATTGGCGGTGAAAACGCTCTACCATGCCAGTTGCTGGGTGATATGCGGTGGTTCGGAGATGAGTCATACCTAGTAAACTATTCAGGCGTCTGAATAGGTGCGATTCGAACTGTCGACCCTGATCCGTCGTTATTCGCAAGGGTGATCCAAATCTGCATATCCAATTACCATATAAAGCGCGAGCTACAGTTTCTGCCTCCTGGTTCTCTAACAGGATTGCTTCTGGCCACCTGGTGAAACGGTCTATGCAGGTTAAGCAGTAGCGGTAGCCCTCGGATGGCGGCATCACGACGATATCCATGTGGATATGTTCAAATCTCGTTGACGAAGGTTGGAATGAACCTATCGAAGAAGTTACGTGTCGTGTCACTTTTGCACGTTGACATTCAACGCAGTAACGTGCCCATTGTCTGCTATCACGCTTTATTGACGGCCAGACGAAACATTGCGTAAGGAGCTTGACTGTGGAGTTAATACCGGGATGCGAAAGACGATGCATCGAGTCAAACACTACTTTACGAAATGGCTTGGTGATAAAGGGCCGGGCCACGTCCGTAGATACGTCATAAAATACAGTCGCGTTCGTGTCGGGTATTTTGATAGAACTACTCAAATTCTTTGGACATAACCACTATATGTGGATTAGGAAAGGCGTTACCTACCATTGTGTATTCTAAACTTTTAAAATAGCATATAAAAAATATATCTTTTTCTTATAAATTAGTTAAATACTATTGAAAAGTGAATATTTTCTCAAATTATTGAAGTGCAAAAATCAAAATGTCAAATATTAACATTTACAACATAACGTTTGTTTACAGATAATAACCATGGAGTCATCACATTATCAGTACCTATCAGTAAAGTCTCTAAAATTGAGAAATACATTAAAAAATGTAATTAATTAACACATAAATATATGGTTAAAACAAAAACACTTTTAATATTATTCAAATTTATTATTTTATCCAACACTTGTATATAATGATACTATAATTTCTTTGGTTTTAAAGGAATAACATGGCCTATAACTCACTAGTGACTTATAAGTCATAAGTCACTAGTGAGTTATGAAACCCTTGGTCATAGACACAATTTAGGTTGACACTCGCATCCTTTGTAATATTTAAAAATACATTCACTTTGTTAAATTACTTTTTCAGACATTGACAACTTGAAACTTTAAGTTACCTACTTTATTTATTATTAAAACGAAATTCTATGAAAGTGTTGGATAAAATTTTGTATGGCACTCATGTGTTACGTCATATGTCACTTGGGAAAATTTGTCAGCATGACATATATACCTATACCGTAACACACCAGTACCATAAATAAGTATTATTGAAGCATGCATTATATTAAATTTTTGAGTTTTTTTGATATAAATTGCAGCTAAACTTAAAAAATGAAAAAATAGTTAATATGTGGAATATTTAAACAAAAACCGCTACAAAACCACCCTTTGGTACAAAATGAGAACAATTGGTTGCAGTACTTAATCAATTTACATAAGTACCATGCAATGTTTGATTGAATTTTTAATGAATTTTTGTAGATTGTAAAAATTATAATTTTCATTAATATTATATAAAATGGGAACCGTTAGTTCGTACTTGATAATTTATCAATTTTTTCTTTTCTTTATTGGGTATTTTCCCACCCGTGAAAAGAAAACTGAAATAAACCCGTAAACCAAAAGGGTCAGTCAAGGGTTATTTTTTATGAGTATTGCCTATTAGGTATTTTTTATTTATTTGCTTTTTTCATTGTGAGATTTTAAGCAAATTTCATTAAAAATAACCTTTGACATCTTTTTCACAAAGGTTTATTTCATTAATGTTATGGCAAAATAGGTATCCAATAAATAACAAAAAAAACTATTCCATAAATAAATAACTTCAGACAATATTTAAATTTAGCTAGTTTAATTATAATCATTTGAACATGTCCCACGATTTTAATAATCGTGGAAAAATTCTCTGTCTAAATATGACATAATATACTGGGTGTACCATTTGAAAAAAATATAATTTTGACAAATATCTACTAATACGATCAACTGCTTTTTATTCAATGAACAGAGAAATTGCTACAAATAAATATACCTTAATCTCGAACAATTACAAAGTTAGTGATGATTTTAATCTGTAAAACACTTTTCAGATTATTCTCGATTAATTCGAATACAGAATAAGATTTTCAGTGTGACATTTTGTCTTTTAGCAACATCGTATCGTTAATGATACTTTTTGTTAAAAAAAACATGTACCTATGAGTTTCTATAGGATATTGATATAAATTGTAAAAAATATATATATTTGAACAAAAATGTTACCATTAGATCGAAAATGAAAATCTAATTCATTATGCTCTATAATTTTGGTATAATTCTTTTCAGATAGTAATATATATTCAATTAGTATTTTGTTATTGTCAATTCAAAAAAAATTGCAAATCACCAATCTTATAACAAAGACAAAGTAACATTAGTAAACAATAATATCATCATTTAAAGTAGTGGTAAAAAAACTGTTACTTTTACAATAATGGTTAGAATTGGCAATGAATGAATGGCTACATTCAGCCGATAGAATCGATGAGTGGAACCACGTTCTTTTATTCATCATAAGTACACAATGGATTATGTACAGCCAATCAGAACCTAGGATTGTTTAAATAGACCAATAATATTACATGGATGGAATTCATCGCATCAAAACGATGAATATAAGAACATGACCTAACTCATCGATTCTGTCGGCTGAATGTAGCCAATGACTACCATAATGATTGATATGAAAATGTAAGAAATTTCTTATATTTTATTTTATTTGTACAGGAATATTAACAAATTAAAATTAACAAACATAAGCCTCATAGTTATAATATATAACATAAAATAATTATTCATTCTAACACATCACCAGTTAATTCCACTTAAAAGTTTCTATATGATTTAGAAGATAAATAAATTCCAATATATATATATATATTTTTTTAAATATGAAGAATAATAATAGAATCGTAAAAGTTGCACTAATAGAATTAGGACAAAAAAATTAAAATTTTTGTGTAACTGTCAGTTTTATATAATTTATATAAATATTAACATTAAAAGATACAGAAATCTGTGCAATACTCGATACTGGAAGTAAAATATATAATGCATAAATAGATATTCACAAGGAATTAATTTTATTTTAACTCCTGTTGAAGAAAGCACTGAACATTTATAATAATTATCACAATCATCTTGATATCAGGATTAATAAATTATATTTGCACATATTAGACAACTCACCTACTGTGAGAATAAATAAAATATCTCAAATGTACAATATTGATTATTTATTCTATCTGCAAAACTCAACTCTGGGTGCAAAATAGCCTTAACTTTTTATCTTACTGTCAATTTAATAAAAACATAAATAATACAAATAAAATGTCCCGCTTTCCAAAAACACCGACTTTTTTATTTGAAAGAAATTAAGAAGTTATAGTACAGAGCAGAAGCATACAAAATGTTTATATTTTTGCAACAAATTTGCAGCAAATATGTCTTATTTTTTCTTATACTTATGTAAGATTTAATTTACTTCCTTTAACATTATTAATAAGAACTGATAAAATTGACTATAGGCTGATTAAAAGTTGGAGCATTGGATTCAAAAATTATATCCCTTATAGAACGATTATTACCTATCTACTCTGTAAAAAATATTTATACATATATTAAAGATGAAAATACCAATTTTATACATACATAATTTTCAAAACTTATTTGGTTTTCCAATATTGTTTTTTTTTTAATAATGAAAATATTTAATCAAGACAAAAATTAAACTGTATAATATAGAATTTAGTGATAAAATAATAATTAAAAAAAAAAAACTATTTTTTTCAATATATACAAATGCTACCTACTAACCTGATCTCTAAAAATAATTAGTCCAAGATTATACACATTGTCGACTTCATTTTGTTGAACATAAACTCTGTCCATATACATAAGTATATCCCGAATCATCACCATTGATGTCTGATGATCATTCCATGCTTGATTTAGTGTCATTAAAAAATTATTATGTAATGACTTTAAAACATCCTCTCTAACCTAAAACTTCTTATTTTAATAACAAGTAAAGTTTATTATGAAAATTTATAACCTTTAATTCTAAATGGTGAGTAACAACTTCTTTTAATCCGGTGTATAGCCGTTCACCATGTTTATGTAAAACCATAGTATATGCGTTTCGGTATAACTCTTCAAAACTCAATCCAGAGTTATTTTTCTTTTGAATCTCTTGAATCGCATTTTTTAAAAGAGCCCATATACTTTCCACATATTTCTCATCCATAGTCATCTAAATAATAACAATAATTTAGTAATGTTTAAGTGCACAACATATATATATGTATAAATATACTGTATCTCCAGGTGTCTCCCAATGTTCCCAATATTTAGACAAATTAGGGTTACCATTCATTTTATATTCTTAGTGATACACTGAATCATTTATAAATATATGAAAGATTTCTTTTTGTTTAACTGATTTCCTGGTTGATATACTATTGAACGTTTTAGCTAAGGTACTTTGTATAAAAGTTGTAAAATGACAATGAATTTTTATTTTTATGCCTGAAATGACAGATTTTTGTTTTTGTTTGACATTTTTAATTGTTTAAGTATTAATAAATAACTTCACAATATTTTTTAACATTTTTAAGTGATATAGTAAATGTTTAATTTAAATAAAATAATAAATATTAATGAATCTTCATTAGCATTATCATTTTTAAAAACAACTTACAGGGAAGGCTCGGATCCTCATCTTGCCTTCCTTTTTGGTTAAACCTCCACTTTTCATAGTTGACATTGCACCTATTTTCTTTCTTTTCTCAGGCCTAATTCGGTAATTATTCAGAAAATCATTGTATAAAGCCAGTTAGACCAAATAACTTGTAGCTAAACACATTATTATGTCCTTCATACTTGTTTAATTAAAAATTCGATATACACTACTCAGTGACCGATTAATAAATGACTTTCTTGTTTTTTATGTTTGCACCAGTTCAGACATTTTCACAAATGCAAGTACGTTCTATGATTTCCACAAAAATCACCACACACTTTCACTAACTCAAATGATGTATTGTAGAAAAAAATTTTGATGGAAACAATTTTTTTTGGGAAGTTTCCGATTTATCCATCCAATACAAGATTTCGACAACTCATTTATTCACAGACAACTCTTTCATTCAGCTGTTTACTACTCTGTCATAACAGTGATACCACGACACCACATATAAAACCAATATAACTACATTAGCTGAGTGCCACTAGAATATTTTTGAAATATGCCGCGTTTTCCAAAACAATTTTAATAGCTGTACACTCTCATTTCAATTAGATAATAATTATATAAATAAGTGCATTTTCATCCGTTACATGTGGTAAAGAACAATACTGATTTTCTCTTGTTGAAAAGCTATATTCTCACCAATATTTTTAAATTACTATTTTTTAAGTTACACAATTCAATGTAAGTTTAATTAGTAAAAATACTATCCTTGATTATACTATTTATTTCAATAACACATTAAAAATATTAAAGCATCAACCAAAAGACAATAGTTGAATGTTATCAATACATCGATAAATCAATTTATACAAATTATCACCGGTATATTTTTAAAAATAACAAAATACAAACAATATTGTGGATGGTAAAACAACCATAACGTAATGGATTACAATAAACAAAAAATGAAATTTTACTTAGTCAAAACCTGCTACCTTTTACGTTCGCCTTTTACAGTTTTACGTTTTTCTTTCTTCTCTTCCTTTAATTGCTTTTGCTTTTCCCTAAAAAGAAAATATTTATAAATGGTGATACCGCTATATCACACTAACTCACCTGTCTTCTTTATCTTTTTCTTTCTTTTTTTGGCTTTCAATTCGTGCTTGCTCCCGTTTGCTTTTCTCTGCCTGAAGTACAGTCTGAGCATTTAGATTTTTTTCTATACGATTCTCGTCAACAGTTCCATTTTTTTCTTCATTTTCATCTTCATCATCAGTCATTTGACTATACTGTGAAAGAATTGCCTCTCTGATTTTTCTCTCTTCTTCTGTGTACTGCCTTTGTTTTGTAATGGCTAATGACTGAGATTCCAATAATTTTGCTAATTTGTTGTTAACATCTTCGCTTGACATTTGAGACGGAGGTGGCTCCTTTGGTTTAAAAATATGCCACTTTTCTAAAATTTCATTGCAAATTTTGTTTATTTCACCTTCCTAAAATTGATTTAGGTATTACTTCCCTGTAATTATTAAAATAAATAATGGTAAGTAGAGACACACATTTTCAACTATTTCCGCAAGTATTCCTTGAAGTGCTTCACTTTTTTCCTCAAAAGACTCATCGCTATCTAAAATTCCTTGTATATATGACCCAAAAACAGTTTCATCTGTATTTAATTCTTGTAGTTTTTCATTTAACCAATTTGGAAAATCCTGAATTGCCGTAGCCATTCTCAGTAGGAATTCGAGTTGTTAGTTATTTTCTTTTTATTCTTCTAATGTTCGAAAATTTTATGTTGGCAATAATAAACTAGTTTCATCAATTTATGTAAAGGGGATTTTCCACAAGCTATGGCTGTTTCACACGGATAATAAAAAAAAATGTAGTAAAGTACAAAAAATAAATAAATATAATTAATTATATTGGTGGCAATCTTTCGTCAGGATCTACTCGGAGAATTTTATCAGCTAACACCAATTTATTTATTATCTCGTGTTGGTTAACTCCACCTCCAACTTTTGCCATTTGAAAACCTTTTTTTAATAATTCTTTACTATTTTTTGGCAAATAATTCGGAAAATCAATATTAAATCTAATTATTAAATTCCCCTTCTCAGGGTATTTCTCTAAAATAGGCATTCCTTCATTTTCAACTATTTTTTCGAAGCCAGGGCTAAAAATGAAAATAAAATTTAAATTTAAATTTACAGAAGGATATTGGTCATCAAATATAGCAAAAGCCTATAGTACACAGCAGTGCCTCCTCTAAATTAAAAAGAGGACACATTTGAAGGTAACATGATACATGACACGATATCTTATTCTAATTCTAATTGAGGATCTATCGTCCGAGCGTGCAGATTTAATAAAACTATGCACCATTCGACACTATAATTTCTATAAAATAACCGAATCCATACCGTGGGAACAGACAGTTACGCTTAGATTTTGACAGAATAAATTTATTTTACCTATACTACCTATTATTTGGAAGCACTTCGGGAGCACTTCAGATATTAACTTTTTACTTTCCAATATTTTACACCTGTTCTTATTTGTTTTCCCCTGCCCCCTCACGCACACTTTTTGTAAAAGAATTTCATGCTAGGTGTGTGAAGTTAAGATTTTTAAATAATTTTCATAATGAATAAGATTATTTACTTCCATGGATTATTTCATCATGGTTATTATTAGTACCTCTATGCTTTAATAAGGGAAATTTATATTTGGCTCTGGTAATATTTTTCAAGTAGATATTTAAATACTTATGTGTTCCTATCGGAGATGTTCCAGTTGTTTAAGTTTGGAGTACAAGAAACAAACAGTAGCAGAACACTTCAGGAGCAGATTCCACACAATTGGAAAGCAACTGATTTTCGGCAGGGACGAAATATCTATTGACACTACATATACGAGTAGACGTGCTAAAATGAGAGCTTCTGCTATATATTTGATGACTTATACCGTTGAGTGGGAATTTCTCACTCAACGCTTATACTGTATGCCGACGCGAGTAAAATTTAAATCCACTAATAAAACAAATACTATAATATAAACTGCGGCATTAAATTAAAGGAAGGCTAAGGAAAATAGTTATAATTTTTTTAATAAGTTAAAATGTTCAAATTTACATTAATCTTTAGATGTATAAACAGATGTGAAAATAAGTAGAGTATAGGAACTACATTTAAAATGATTTTACAAAACAACAAAGATAATTGTATCTATTTTCTCTAGCGTTCCTCTAGATTATTAGCGCAATGTATTGCTGTCGAAAAAGTTGAAATTAAATATAGGAACGGAACCGATCGAGAAGCTCCTTAGAGACTTATGATCTTACAACACTACATCTGTAATCGGTACTCTAACTGTTCTATGATCGATAGTGACAACTGTAACCATGGTTCCTAGCAAAGCCTCTTCTAAAGAAATATTTGCAACCATTATTAAATCATCACCTTCTCTAGTAAATATTTCGTGAGGTCTGTCCTCGGTAATGAAAATAATATCCGCTATAAAAAAAGTAATATATCAGATATACTATAAGTATTCTAGAAGACAGAATAGACAGATAATAGTTATATTAATTTACCAGGAATTTGAGTGGGGTTTTGATCGCCTTCTTCGGGTAAAATTATTTCTGTATTTGATCTAATGCCGGGTTTAATAGGAATACTTAAAATCTTTTCTTTTACTTCAGTACGTATATGTTCATTATCTATAAAAACCAGTCTGTGGATTTTCATTTTCTTTACGCCACCGAAAAAAATTTCATGAAGGGTTAAAGCTAACGGGTGTTTTATAGGCGGTTGCTTTTTGCGAATACAAATGTTACCATCAGACATTTTATATAACAAGGGAGGATTGTTTAATACATTTAATAAATCAGCGTATGGAGATACGGTTCCAAAAAAATCCCTTTAGAAATAAAAATGGTATAGGTGCCTATAAAGAAATATTATCATATAAATTACTTATAAGTTTGCATAGGATCCCCATGATAATGATAAGCTGGAATGTAATCATCAGCAGTCGGGATTCCTCGTTTCAGTCCTTCTTCGCCATATTGATCAAAGACTGCCCTACGTAAAGGGTCGCTTAATACATCATAAGCTTCTCCTATAAGCCGAAATACTTGTTTGGCATTATCATTTTTAAGAATTTCGGGATTGAATTCTAAAGCTAAATTTCTATACCTACAAATATGTTTTGTTATCAAAATTTCCTAGAAAATACTAATACTAATATAATAAATATTACGCTTTTTTTATCTGCAAATCCGTACTATTTTTTGGAATTTGTAATATTCCGTAATAATCTACACCCATTTCTTTGAAGTTGATGTTGATAGAATTTATAATTCAAAAAATATTAATTTGACGTTGGCAAGATGATTGGTATTACAAAAATCCCTAAAGGGATTTATGGCTAGTTGTACAATATGCCGATATACTACCCGATACAGTTATCTTGCCGACAAGTTGGACAAGTCCACTTTTGGCGTATTACAATATACGGATATTTTTGTTGGGCACATTATCGGCAGGATAATCTGTCGGGTACTCCAGACAAAGGCGAGGAGTACCACACCTTCACCCTCAGCGAAGAAAAAACGCTGAGGGTGGTGATACGCGGAATACCTGCGGGTGTTTCGCCAAGTGAGGTCCAACTCGACCTAGCAAGACAAGGGTTCCCCGGCGCAATATTGCACCGCATGGCGAGCCGTCAAAATAAACAGGAAATGCCCCTGGTCCTAGTTCAGGCCCCACAGGACCAGGAGGACATCCTGAAGGTAACCCGCTGCTGCTCGCTCGTGGTTCGAGTAGAGCTGCAGCTAAAGCAGCGGGTTGCCACACAGTGCCACCGGTGCCAGCGGTTCGGCCACGGCCAGACCCGGTGCACAGCTGAGCCAAAGTGC